CACCCTGCAGCTCTGTGTGTGACAGGGTGTGGGACCACTATCTCCCTATCCGCCCTGCTCTGTTCGTGACAGGGGAAGGCGCCCCAACCTCCTGATCAGCCCTGCTCTGTGCCTGATACGGGGGAGCTCCCCAACCTCTGATCGACCCTGCTCTGTGCGTGACAGGGGGAAGCTCCCTAACCCCCTGATTGACCCTGCTCCGTGCGTGACAGGGTAAGGAGCCCCAACCCCCCCGATAGGCCCTGCTCTGTGTGTGACAGGGGGTGGCGTAGCAACCTCCCCATCGACCCTGCCTTGAGTGTGACAGGGGGCGGTACCCCAACCCCCCAATCTGCCCTATCCTGAGCGTGACTGGGGGTGGCATCGCAACCTCCCGATCTGCCCTGCACTGTGCATGACAGGGGCGACGCCCCAACTCCCCAATCGGCCCTGCTCTGAGCCCGACCAGGGGCTGCACCAAGGGATTGGGCCTGCCCTCTGCCACCCGGGAGCAGGTCTAAGCCACAGGGCGTTATATCCCGAGGGGTCCCAGACTGTGAGAGGGCACAGGCCAGGCTGAGAGAACCCCCACTTCCCCCCCGAGTGCACAAATTTTTGTGCACCAGGCCTCTAGTTTATATATATTATCACAAAGATGCCTTGGTTTCCCACACATTTCTCTTGCAAATGTAACACCACACTGAAAAGTAATGCTCTCCTTCATGAAGTTGCTGCTTTTTGCTTATGAAAGTGGAATTTTATTTTAATTTTTTTAAGAAGGAAGAAGAGGAGAAGGAGGGGGAGGAAATGACTCGAACCACTGGATTCTTTCTCAATGACAGTATATGGCAATGATGGCGAACCTATGACACATGTGACATGCGAACTCATTTTTTTGGTTGATTTTTCTTTGTTAAATGGCATTTAAATATAGAACATAAATATCAAAAATATAAATCTGTTTTATTATGGTTGCAAATATCAAAAAATTTCTATATGTGACACGGCATCAGAGTTAAGTTAGGGTTTTTCAAAATGCTGACACGCCGAGCTCAAAAGGTTCACCATCACTGGTATATGGCATGAACAAAGGAAAAGTAAGCCACCTTCCAGAAGGTGCTCAGAGCTTGGCTTTCCCCCACACCTGGTCGTGGATTGGTAGCAGCTGCTTGAATTTCCATTGTCCATTGATTGTGGCCTTTGTCAGGCAATCCATCCTTGCTTATGTAATTGCAGCATGCCTGCAGTTAGCTCTGTTCTGTCCTGACGGCTCAGTTGCAGGACAGACTGAGAAAATTAGATACAGCAGAGCAAAAAGCTGCTGACCTTCAGAAAAAAAATGAGGCCCGTCTTTTACAACGGGTCTTTTTGATGAGTACTGTATTTCCAACAGGCCATTTTCATGCTGACCATGTGTCTTCTAAAAATATCATAATGTTATATTTAAGTTTAGATATACCTATACTGTACATAATATTATGAATAAATTCATTTCCTGCAGTGGTTCTCACCCTTCCTAATGTCGCGACCCTTTAATACAGTCCCTCATGTTGTGGTGACCCCCAACCATAAAATTATTTTCGTTGCTACTTCATAACTGTAATTTTGCTACTGTTACGAATCGTCATGTAAATATCTGATATGCTATATGTGCTTTCCGATGGTCGCGACCCACAGGTTGAGAACCGCTGCTAGAGTTTGTCAAAAAGGGGCAAGTCTTCATCCTGAGATAAAACTCTGACCTTCAAAAGAATTAAATATAACTATATAAAATCTGAAACATATAAAGGAAATTTCTTAGAATCTTACTAAGGCTTTAAAAAAGACTGAATTTCCTGAGTAATTGTGCCAAAGTTGAATGTGCCTGAGTAATTGTTTGCCAAAGAACCAAAATTCAGTAGGGGAATTAATTACTTCTGCTTATATAAAATTCACATTATATTTTATTTTTTTTTCCTTTTAAACAATGTCAAACTCATAGAAAAGTTCCAAGTACAAGATAAAGAAGTTTTCCCCTCTGAACAACTTACCAACATGTTGCCTGGCAACCTTAGAATAACTGAACAAATATTATTTCATCCCTCTCCCACGGTCTCTTCTTCCCTCTCAATCTCACAATCAAATGCTTAGCTATCTAGCTGAATAGCTATAACAGGAGCATACAGATCTGCTGAGTAGCTCTTTATCCCATCTTTTAAATGTCCATCTTGTTTCTTTCATGAACTTCTAGTATCTCAAGAAAAATATAATAATAAGCCACAAAGTTCAACTTGCAAAAACAGGGAGTCCTGCTGATGAGGAACAGTTTCAAATAAGCAAAATTCCCTTTATTCCTGTTTCACAGATTTTTTTCACTTCTGCCTTTAAACATGGGTTTCTCCTAAGTGGGGCAGAGGAGAAAAGTAAAGAGAGTGAGGAAACTATCTTTTAGGGAACCTGGGCACCTTCACAATCTCTTATTCTATTTCCCTTAGGTCACTGTCAAATACATCCATGTGTACCTATCATCAGTTCACTTTTAAATGCACTGTTCTGGGTTTAGCCTTCATCTCCCCATTGATAAAAAGTCACTGATGATTTCTGAGTCATAACTGATCTTTCAATCTTCAATAGCTTCAAAACAACTCCAGAGCCCATGACCTCTATGGGCTTCCCCTACTTTTACCTCTCCTCCATGACACAAAAATACCCTACTCTTGCTTCTACTTCTTTGAACAAGTCCCAACCATTCCACAGTATTTTTCTCCTCTTTGTCTCCCTACACTCAACATCCACCAGGCTTTAACTCTCATCTCTTTGCCATTTATAGTCAAAACCATAATTCTACATCAATTCCCTCTCACATTTTCAACCGATAATCTTTAATTTCTCAATCAATTCCTCCACTTGGACTTTTGACACATATTCTTGCAGTCACCACAACTTCTTTTCTTCCCTGCACCCCAGCCGGCCGGTCACTATGTCTAACTTTGCCTGGAACAGCAGCTACTCAGTTCCAGCCAAGTGTTACCACGGGAAAATGCTGACCCACTGCTGACAGATGGTCCGCTTTTTGTTTTCTTTTCAGGCGAAGTCCAAAATGTGACTTGTTAAAGGAAATTTAAATTTTAGATGAGATCTTCCAATGTTTAAATACTGATAACTAATTTTTATAAACAAACAAAAAAATATCCAGCATCTGGATCAAACAAAACCTATCTGCAGCCTGTCAGATTGTGACTTATAGCCTGGGGGTGAATGCAAATGCCTGAACATGCTTTCTGAGTCTTCTTAAGCCATCCTGAAACTACCTTCTGAATTCCATTACCAGCAATTCAAAATAACCACTACAAGCCAACTGTTTTGTATAGAGACTCCAAGCACACCTGATTCTTTCATATCTCCATGCCTTTGCCATGTTTGTTCCCCACATTAAAAAAAAAAAAAAGTTGTTTTTTTTCCCTTAAGTCCCACTTTATGATCAGTTCAAAAGCTACCATTTCTCTGAAAACTTCCTGAACCACATCAGCTAATGAGACCATCTCTCCCATAGTCAAAAGACATTAATACCCAGTACTGCGTGCCAGGCACAGTCCTGGACATTTTATAAGCTCCCTTCCCCAACACAATCCTAAGAAATTGATACTAACATTATGCAAATATTGAAGAAAACCCAAGGTAAGTGGCAGAGCTGCGGTTGTAACTTCACAGAAACTCCATTTCTTTAACATGATCCTTTCTCCTTTGAACTTTTCTCCTTTCTGTCCAAGTCCACTCCCTTCCTTAATCATTAAGTCCTTAGGACATCCCATTTTGCTCAGTATTAATGTGTCTTAAGAACAAAGCCTCAGGTCTGTTGACCACAAAACAGAGTTTCCTTCCAAATAAAGATAGCATTTTTATTTTATTTTTTTAAAATATGTTTTATTGATTTTTTACAGAGAGGAAAGGAGAGGGACAGAGAGTTAGAAACATCGATCAGCTGCCTCCTGCACACTCCCCACTGGGGATGTGCCCGCAACCAAGGTACATGCCCTTGACCAGAATCGAACCTGGGACCCCTCAGTCCGCAGGCCGAAGCTCTATCCACTAGCCAAACTGGTTAGAGCAAGATAGCATTTTTAATTCATTGAGTTTCAGTCCCTGGCCCATGAACGCAGAAAGACCCTACCCTAACTGGACCACAGCCTCAGGAAACCAGGCAGAACATCAGCACCTGACACAATGATCACCTCCTCCCTTTCCTGGTCCCCGCCAATCAGTAGGACCAGGATCCCAACTCTTTTAACCACCATGATTAATATTTTTCCCCTATATCACCCATGCTCTGGAAGCCATTGGGGAGCCAGATCTTTGAACATTAGTTTACTTGACACTCCAAGCTTGGCACCATTTCCTCAACTAATACTTTACTTTCTTGGCTGCAAACTCCTCTTGTGTTTGATTGCGCTTTAATGTGCTCAAATAGACCCATTTAGTCTGGTAACAGGGTTGAACTAAAAGCTGTCTTGTTCTAGTGAAAAAAGAGTAGGACACTCATGTTGTAATCACATTATATGACATGCGTTATGTGGGAGGGAAAAAAAAAATGTTCAAATCCTTAACACGACTCCTAAGACCACTAGGAATATGGCTCTTTTCTTCCATTTCTTGATAAGTTTCCTGTCATTCCTGAAGCCTCAGCCACATTAGTCTGCTTCCAGTTTTATAGAATTTACTGAGCTATTACATAATTCAAGGCCTTCGCCAACGTTGTTTTCATAGTCTGGAATGGTCCTCCCCTCTTCTCACATCTAATCCTTATTATTCGTTGTGAACCAATTTTAAAGATTTCCTCAAGACTCTGTTTTTTCAGTAGTGTTTGATTGAATAGTAGTGTTAGAATAATATTATTTGACTAAATAACATCATTCAGTTGTTGTCCTTTCTCCTCCATGTATGCTTGGCCACTGCCTTATGTTTGGCCCTTATTTTTGTTTGGACTGTCCCAGTGACTTCTTGAGTTCTTTGCAGTGTTATGGAAGAGATGGTCACATCAATCATTTCAGTACCATACGTTATGACAGAACTTTGATAACACACTCTTAGGAGAGGAAATAATTTGTGTTTTGATCTAAGAAACACTAGGAGGGTTTCCTGCTCCTAAAATAATTGTGGTATGAGTGCAAAATACCTATTCTTCCTTTAACTTTTACAGGGTCTATTTCATTCAAGTCAGGGTCTTAATTCTTCATTTAGTTAATCCTCATACTATTTCTACATTTATATATATATGAAAATTAAAGCACGGAGAGATTAAGTAACATGCCTGGGAACACACAGCCAGTAACTGCAAAAGCCAGGACTCAAACCCAATATTCTGGTTCCAGCTCTCAATCATCATGATTCCCAAAAAGCAGGAGCCACGTATTACTCATTGGTGTATAGGTCATTGCCAGGCATGTAAAAGAGGATGAGTCAAACACTACTGTCAAAATAAGAACTGGAAGAGGAAAGACCCTCAGATTCTAAAGGGAAAACCATGCAAACATTGAATTTCAAACAGGACAGGACAGGGTAGAATGGCAACACAGATCAGCCCTGGTCCCCTTACCCTTCCCCACTCCAGGTTCCCTGCCTTCAACAAGGGGACATTTGTCAGAAGCAAACCTGACCGTGTCATTTTCCCCGTCTCACTGCTGGGAACTTGGAAATGGGAAACCTTCTTGCAGTGCTTCTAAAACTTTTTCAAGAAACATTGCTCCCTAATGGCTGGCAGAGGAGAGCAACCAGTCATACCGGTGAGGCGCATGTCCCAGAAAGGTAGCCACCACTCTCAGTTCTCACAGCCTATGTCTCACCCTCACTATTCTAGCAAGTTGGTGTTTATTCTATAAAGTATCTCTGATTGTTGTAATATAAAAAAAAAATGCTTATAACTACTTATAATTGCCGCTCTAGAAGAAAAGCCTTTGCTCCTACCATGATTTCTAGCACCACCTGGCCCCTATCTGCATTCTTCCTGGGCACTCCCATACTGCAGCTCACACACAGAACAGGGCTATGGAGCTCCTGGCCATGACACATGAAACCCTCCCCGACCCCTCCCTGACGGACAGCCCCCCTCCCACCTCTTCAGCTAACACAATCAGAAGCAGTCCGATTTCAACCCGATTTCCAGCTCCTGGTCTTTAAGACTTAGGTACTTGAGGACTTTGAGAAGACATACCCACCCTCCCCAACCCTACTTGGGTGTGAATTTACTGATTGACTATCCCCTTCTCCCCACGGCTACTTAGCCGTATTTCCCTAGTTTAATAGAGTGTTTGCAATTGTTTACATGGCTTTCTCCCACGTTAGGCTGTGCTGTTCCTGGAGACAGGCCCTTGATTTAATCAGGTTAACATCCCAGTGCCGCGCAGAGCCCTGCCATACAGGTAAACTGTCTACAGGAAACTGGACTCACAATAGATAACCGAATTCCTCAAGAGCAGGCAAGAAAGCTGTGAAATTGAAATTAAACACAAGCGGAAGGGTCTGAGCGCACATCTCCAGTCTCGATTTCCATTCCTAATAGAACTCCAGGTTCCCCGCGCAGGGGACGTCGAGGCCGGAGATCGGGGTGGGCAAAGGAGTTACTCACCAGCTGGTGGAAGGGTGTCTGTTCTCCAGCGTTTTGGTCCAGGGCTTGTACCAGCTGATCTGCTCCGCGGCTTTGCCCCAGAACCC